CTGTCTGTTGTAATCACGCTATCTTTCGAACAAATTGAGATAGAAGGCTAAAATTTTGCACACATGTATATTTTGCCAGTAGGCAGGTTAAGTTCGTAAATGGGCCATGTAGGTCCAAGTTATCATATAGCCCCCATATAACTGTACCTCCCGATATTCAGTATTTTGATGATTTTAGCGACATTATTCCCAGGAATTGTTTCAAATTTGGCATTTGAAGTTCGAAATGAATACTACAGCCTAAGACAGAAAATTATCTGTGCAGGTCCATGTCTTCGTGTAGCCCCCATATAACGGTACCCCCCATTTTCGGTATTTTGATGATTTTAGCGACATTGTTTACCGCAATCGTTTCAAATTTGGTATTTGAAGTTCGTAATGGATACTACATCCCAAGTCAAAAAATGAGCTATGTAGGTCCACGTCTTCATGTAGCCCCCATATAACGGTACCCCCCGATATTCGGTATTTTGATGATTTTAGCGACATTGTTTACCGGAATCGTTTCAAATTTGGTATTTGAAGTTCGTAATGGATACTACATCCTAAGTCAAAAAATGAGCCATGTAGGTCCACGTCTTCATATAGCCCCCATATAACGGTACCCCCGATATTCGGTATTTTGATGATTTTAGCGACATTATTTACCGGGATTGTTTCAAATTTCGCATGTGAAGTTCGTAATGAATACTTCAGCCCATGCCAGAATATTGTCTGTGCAGGTCCACGTCTTAGTATAGCCCCCATATAACGGTACCCCCCATATTCGGTATTTTAATGATTTTAGCTACATTATAAACTGATTTTTCTTCAAGTTTCGCATTTAAATAGTGTAATAACTTATGACAAAAGTTGCTTATGCAGGCCCACGTCGTCGTATAAGCATTCGGTATTCTTAAGATTTTAACAGAATTTTTAACGGATTTTATTTTTTGGAAAATGCCAAACTTGTACCAAATGGTGGAGGGTATTAAAAGTTCGGCCCGGCCGAACTTACAGCTTTTTTACTTGTTTCATTTTTATACCCTCCACCAAAAAAAGTATGGAGGGTATATTAAGTTCGTCATTCCGTTTGTAACTCATCGAAATAATCATTTTAGACCCAACAAAGTATATATATTCTTGATCAGCGTAAAATTCTAAGACGATTTAGCCCTGTCCGTCCATCTGTCCGTCTGTTGTAATCACGCAACAGTGTAAACAAATTAAGATAGGAAGCTAAAATTTTGCACAGATCTCTCTTTTGTCTGCAGGCAGGTCAAGTTCGAAGATGGGGTATATCGGTCCACGATATCGTATAGCCCCCATATAACGGTACCCCCGATATTCGGTATTTTGATGATGTTAGCCACATTTTTCCATGGAATTGTCTGAAAATCCAAACAAGAAGTTCGTTATGAGTACTTTATACTTCGGAAGAGAATTATCTATATAGGTCGACGATATCGTATAGCCCCCATATAACGGTACTCTCCGATATTCGGTATTTTGAAGATTTTAGCCACATTTATGAACGGAGTTGTCTGATAATCCACACAAGGAGTTCCTTCTGGGTACTTTATCCCTTGAAAGAGAATTGTCTATATAGGTCCACAATATCGTATAGCCCCCATATAACGGTACCCCCCGATATTCGGTATTTTGATGATTTTACCCATTTTTACTTGTTTTAAATTTTCAAATTCCTTCCAAATAGTGGATGGTTATAAAAATTCGGTGCCATCGAATTTAGCTGCTTGTTGATTAGTAAATCTATGATTCAATAGGCTATTGGCGACTCAAAAAATCTCATGAGATACTAAAGTTTAAGTTAAGTAGCACATTGACAAACTGGGTTTATTGAACGTTCTAAACGAAGATCCGCTGAAGAATGTTTCTAAACCAGCAATTTTTATGAAAAATGATAAGAAGGCAAAAGATTGACTGGGACAAGTATTGACAAGTAAAATCTTATTGTACAATAAGATATAATTGTACATTGGGCTGGGTAGCCCAATTCTTTTCTTAATTCTATTTGCAGAGTGTTATGATGTAAGTTACTATTTATACTCTGTTGGGAGTAATAAAATAGTTCACGGCATCGCAGGACGTATTAAATTTTAAAAATTAAAGACTAATGATAGAGGATGTTACATTGTTCGATCGATACGAGGAAGTAACCGAAGAAAAAAAAAACAGTTTTCATTGGGAAAATCCTAAAAATTCGAAGAAAATCAATGCAATGTACTACATGGTTAAATTATTACAAGATGTTCTCTGCATTTTTCAGTAATTTACCTTGTCAAATTTAACTGCATAGAAAGTAAGTTCCCATCTCTGTATATACATAGTCATTTTTTGAAAAAAATGTAAACATGTGATTGCTGACTACCTTCTTAATTCTACCATGGAAAAATACAATGGTACAATTATTTCAAAGTGTTCTCATTTCAGATAAGAATATCCAGCTTGCATAGTTCTGTAATTTACCTCTTATGTTCTGAAATTATTCTTTGTGCTTAAATTCGTAACTCTCAAATCAAGATGGATGCACGATTCCTTTTCATTTTATCAACAATTTTCATATGAAAAAAATTTTTGTGTAGACGTCGATGAAAATTTAGATGAAAATGGGAAAACATTTTCAATGAAAATTTTAATAGTCTGGCATAAGACAAAGCAAGTTCCTATCTCTGATTTGTATGTATACAATCATGGCACAATTACAGAAGGTATGTATGCATTTTTTACAGAGATAGTGGCACGCTTATTTAAAAGTAACTGGTATTCACTGCATTTTTTCACAATGACATCTTCATTTTAGTTTAAAAATAATAAACAAAATGCGAATTTATATATAATTATATTATATAATTCAGTTCTTCAATATAAAATAAACGATTTGCGTCATACATTTTTTTATTTAAATAAATTTTGCTATTATTGTCATATAATCAACAAAAAAATATGGCAACATAAATTCAGTAAACCTTATTTTAAAAGATAAAGGGAAGATGGTCTGACCTTTTGCTTTTCGGACCGTTCATACTTAAATGAAACTTGAAAAACGATTTATGTGTCCGACAACATCACTTTTTTATCTATCGGAAAGATGTAAAAACCGGCCTATTTGACACTATAAGACTGCAGCATATAGTTGCATTTTTCTACTTTCTTTGAAGTTGAGCAACCTTTCTTATTGAGCCATGGATTACATGACTTTACCTTCTTAGTTCTACCATGACTGGGACCAACGAAAAAAAAACAGAAGAAATTAATGTTGCAAAAATTATTGAATCGATTTTTGCAAAACATAATGGCGAAATCAAGGGTACCTCCGTAACAAAATGGGGAGGCTTAACAGAACGATGGGGAAGGTTCAACAGAATTTGAAGTCCTAGTTACCCAATGAGATTTGGAGGTGCAAGTACATAGAAGGTTGTTTTTACTGGTTTAAGTCATCGGCTGGCTTTTTTATAAAAGAACAAAGGTTAAACAGTTCAGATCTTATTTAAAAGAAAATCCTGACATGTTATTCAATTTCCCCACCATTTAACAAACTGTAAATATTAAAGTGTTTCTGCACAGTTTTTTTTTCAATGGTATGTAAGCCAAATTATAAACAGTTTTCTTCATGTCTCATTCGTAAACAACCCGGCGTCGTGCATTACGTTCATTCGTAAACAACAGAGTACCCCGGGATTTTGCTTTCTGTTTAGTTTTGTATCGAAAAAAAATTTTTGACAAGTGACTCCAACCAAATTTGAAAACAGAAAAATATTTGTAAAATGTCAACATTTATTCAAAAAGTACAAAACACGAATGAAAATTGTTAAATGAAAGACAAAATAAATCTTTTGAGGAAAACAATAATTATTGTTAATGCTAATTTCATGTACTTTCGTACAACTTTCTATATTATTTTTTTATTATATTATTTTATTTTTATATTATTTTTTAACTAAAATGAAGATGCCATTGTGAAAAAAGCTTGCCATATCTCTGTAAAAAATGCATATATTTAAAAGGTAATAATGTGAACCCGATAATATGAACTTTGTCCTTCACTTTTCCTAAAGTAAGAAATAAAAAAGTGGACCTTTATAGTTATAAGAACGGGCCCATAGTAGAAGAATATAGGTAGACGCGTCGACACAGCTGCTGGGACAATGAACTGTCAAACCAATTTTGGAATTGAAAATGTTATTTAAATTTGTAAAAATTGTTGAAAAACGAGAATTATAATAGCCTTCGAATGATGTAGTATAAAAAAAAACATATAAAAATCTACTTATATTTGAAAAAACTTTTGAATTTTATTGACATATCAATGCTCCCAAGCGTTGATGCATCTACCTGTATTCTTCTGCCATGAACGGGCGTATGAATTGCGAATCGTGCCGTATGAGCGAACAACATGATTGAAATTGCAATGAGAACATAGCATAAGTCGAACAATCGACTATGAATAGTCGAGTACTCGGCTTTCACCCAAGTCCGTAATCGGGTTTGACTTTCAGAATTTTAGTACTAAAAGTCGATTATTCAATTAATCGAAAGTCGACTTACCTATCCCTAGGGGTCTCTCTGGCAAAGGAAAATAAAATTTTGAGGATTGTGTTATTTCCCAAAATATGTAATATTTTTATTTTTACTCTCCGTCATGGTAGAAGAATATAGGTCGACGCGTCAACACAGCTGCTGGGACAATGAACTGTCAAACCAATTTTGGAATTGAAATTGTTGAATGAAAAATTTTTTAAATTTGTAAAAATTGTTGAAAAACGCGAATTATAATAGCCTCCGAAAGACGTAGTATAAGAAAACATATAAAAATCTACTTATATTTGAAAAAAACATTTAATTTTTTTTGACATATCAATGCTCCCAAGCGTTGATGCATCTACCTGTATTTTTCTGCCATGCTCTCCGTGGGCAATATGCAATGCCCTCGGTGGCAACACTGTTATGAATAGTCGAGTACTCGGTTTTCACCCAACTCCATTATCCAGTTCGGCAAACGATAGTAGCAACTAGTTCCGCGCTCTTTAGTGAAGATGTGCAATTTTCTCATGTCTCATTCGTAAACAACAGAGTACCTCAAGTCTTTGCTTTCGTTTATTTTTTATCGGGTATTCCTTTGTGGCCTTCATATTCGTTTCGTTGGGACGTTTTTCATATTTGTTTCCAGCGCTCTTTTATTGGATTCATCTAATTGTTTAAATTGATTAGTATAAAGTGGATGATGGTGGCGTTTTAGAATTCTAATTAACCTAATTAACAATAACGACATTTATATTTGTTTTTGTTTTAAAACAATTGTTATTTGTGGTATTTGTCCAAAAAATTCTTTGAAAAAGTGGCGTTGTTTGTGAACGCATACTAACACAAACGCACACACGCATCATTTTACTCAATAGGAAAAATGAACCACCAAAGGAATTGGGGAGAAAATATCAACGAATATGAAGTCCTGCATTTATTGGGAAAAGGAGGATTTGCTAGTGTGTATAAAGCACGATGCCTCAGGAGCAACCAGTATGTCGCTATTAAAATGATTGACAAAAAACTTATCCATGGCGCCGCCATGGCTGACAGAGTGCGTCAGGAAGTCGAAATACATTCACGCTTGAAACATCCATCGGTATTGGAACTGTACACATTTTTCCAAGACGAGCATTATGTGTATTTGGTGCTTGAGTTGGCACATAATGGTGAACTTCAACGTTATATGAAGTCGATAATGGGCCGCCCAATGACCGAGGGAGAGGCTGCTGCAATATTAAAGCAGGTTGTTGCTGGGCTTCTCTATCTGCATTCGCATAGCATTATGCATCGCGATATTTCTTTGTCAAATCTTCTGCTTTCCAAAGACATGCACATCAAGATAGCTGACTTTGGTTTAGCCACACAACTGAAGCAACCAAACGAACGTCATGTAACTATGTGTGGCACTCCGAATTATATTTCTCCTGAAGTAGTTTCACGATCGTCACACGGTCTTCCTGCCGATGTTTGGGGTCTTGGATGTATGTTTTACACTTTACTTGTTGGACAACCGCCATTTGATACTGATGCAGTGCAGGCCACTTTAAACAGAGTTGTTATGTCGGACTATCAAATTCCATCGCATATATCTTTTGATGCTAAAGATTTAATCAAACAGCTCCTCAGGAAAAAGCCAGAAGAACGTATCAGCCTTCAGCAGGTTTTGAAACATCCATTTATGTTACGATTTAGCAAGGAGACAGTCACAAACACCGAAAACAGAATGGACATTGGAAATAGTACTCGTAGTCAGTTTAGTTGTGACAGTGGTATTATCACCTTTTCATCGAGTAATGCATCAAATTCTTGCCCATCATTTCCGAAGTCAAATGTAACGGAACAACTCCCATTTGCAAGCCAACCATCCAACCAGCATCCTTTAGCCCCGGTGGATTTTCAGAATCGAGTGAGTGTAAAATGCAGCACGAATGGTAATGTAGAAAGAATGAAAACAGAACCGTTTGGGGAAGAAAATTGGAATTGGATTCGACCAAATTGCCCAACGACAAGATCCTCTAACATGCAAGCAATATACGGGATGTCAATATCGGACAATTGCTCGGGCCAGACTTCCCTTCAAGCAAAAAGCTGTGAGCCAGAAAGACCTTTAACAGTGCCACCACTAAACACTACAAGATTACAACCCACGCGATATAAGACAAAAAATGCAATAATGAGTATTTTAAAAAGAGGAGAAGTTGTTATAGAGTTCATCAAGTATAGAGCAAAGTACAACGCAGATCGCGTAACTGATATATGTTGGATATCGGGAGATGGGCAAAGCGTAATGGTTTATCAACCCGATTCGGGTCGTGGACTGCCGGTGAGTGATCGTGCCCCTGATCCACCGCCTACTTCGTCAAATTGTATCTTCTCATACGACACTTTGCCTGCTAAACACCACAAGAAATATGCCTATGCGGCGCGTTTTGTTAATCTGGTGAAAAGCAAAACACCCAAGATTACATACTACAGTCCTCTTGCAAAATTCGCTTTGATGGAGAGTTTGGAAGATTTTGAAGCCGCATTTTATGACGGATCGAAGGTTACAAAGTCTCCTGGAGAAGGTATCAAGGTTTTTGATAAGCATGGTCGCCATCTTACACAGGCAGATGAAACTCAAGCGTTAATTGATCACCAGCAGGCTTGCCTCAATCATTGTAAGGCAATAAGCAAGGCTTTGGAGTTGGCAGAGTTGCCTGGAGGTCATAGTTGTTTTCCCGTCGTTATAGGCAGGCGGCCGACGTCGGATTTGCAGGCACAGCACGTAACAACGAACAAACGAGACACCAACAACATATTTTCTTCGACGCCAAAATCCAATCAAGTGCCCTCGATTAACTTCTCCTTAAGTGTTAACCCCAATATCGATTTTGAAGGTACCAGTAAAGAATGTCAACAAGAGTTCATAGCCTCCCAACCAAATTTGCCCATCAAACGAGTCAATATTCCTGGAATAGGCATGGCCACTGAACTTTCACATGGTGTTATCCAAATCCAATTTCAAGACCACTCGGTTATTTCGGTGATACCAGCGTCACAAGGAGGTGGCATTACATATACACACAGCAGTGGGGTTTCCACACATTTTGGTCCACATGACGACCTGCCTTTACAGGTTAGAGAAAAGATTTTGCACTTACCCACCATTGACCGGATGTTGAAGCAATCTACCGACAGTTTAAGCAGAAACTATCAACGACCACATCATCCTTTATATAACGGCATTGTAACATCGACACCGTCAACGACCACAAAACAGCACATGAAGTTTTTTTAGATAAAAACTTCAAAATGTGTAAATTAAATCTATGCTTAGAGCACAAAAGACTCAAACATACAAAACATTTATATTTAGTAATTACGAGTTTAAAATGTTTAAAACTACCATAAACATAATTTAGTAAATGGTCTACGTTACTGATCGCCGTAGTTATTTGAGAATGACTCAATTTATATTTTTGTATTTAGAACTTATTAAATATATATAGTTATAATAATAAAGGGTTTATTTATAAATACAACGACATGCATTTTTGACTTTCATTATTTTTTAATGTAAAGACGGACGAATATTCCGGAATATTTCCTTGGGAAACATATAATCTCATGCTGCATAAATATATTAACAATTTATTTTAGGACCTGTTCCTGTATATCGAAACGAAATATATTTGTGATTTTCTAATGTTTAAATTTATTTGATTTAAAGTTAAATCCAAAATTTGAAATACGCACCTAGAATTAGTGTTTTTTTTTCGCAGATACAGTCCATTAAAGTTTGTCCACTGACAGTGGAGGAGTTCCAATAAAAACATGTTTCTTTCTAAGCCGTGTAACTTTTATCTTTGTTTCAAAGTTCGAGAAAAAACAGCTTTTATAATTGATAAAATTTTCAATTGCTTGTAGCTCTGAACATGGACCGAACGATAGACAATTTCAAAGAAAATAACATGAAATTAACTACTTGGCGACAACGAACCATACTGGCAAATGAATGGGAGGAAATTTCTGAAGATATTATGGAATACGTTTGTAATTTTACTATGCACATCGACGACACTCAGTTAAAAGCATATTCGCAGTGGATAGAACCAAAAAGGAATGTAGAAAGTACTATACTAGTCTTCCCAACATGGGATGAAATCGATTCTGCCTATGACAGCGAGTCCGAAATGATGTTCGAACATGTTGATAATAACTGCGACAATATTGAAAAAATCAACGTTCGTGCGGAAGGACCACGTAATACAATGGATAACTTTTTCACGGGTAAGACCAATAGAGATCCAAACAAATTTTATAGTGCGAGGGAAATACTTGTATTACAAAATCAGAAAGTAAGTTATATAAGATATGATTTTAATTTCAAATGTGGTAAGAAGTTTTTTTATTCTTGTAGTCTGAGGGAAACATAGCAAGAAAACCAGAAGAAAATGTTGTTCAAACGGCTGATTTTTCTTTTTCTGCCACAAAGAAAAAACTTGGTTCGCTTGTTCGAATTTGCAACACAAATAAAAAGAGTTTTGTACCACCCGTGCGAACAAAAAGGCATGAATGATACATATCTAGAGTAATTAACAAAGTCTTTATTGACGTTAAACAAATATATATATTTACAGTTCACTGGTCCCTAACACTTTTGAACAGAATGCTGAAGAAAATATGGAAGACGGTACAGATTTGTCTAATGCTGCCTTGAAAAATATTGATCCCAAAATGGTAGAAGTCATAAATAATGAAATCATGCACAAGTTTAAACCTGTTGGTAAGTCGTAGTGTATACATTCTAATCTTTATAATACTGATCGTTTATCACAGATTGGAGTGAAATTTCTGGTTTAGAATATGCCAAATCGATTATTAAGGAAGCCGTAGTATATCCTCTTCTACGTCCCGATATCTTTACTGGTTTACGAAGACCTCCAAGGGGTATACTGTTGTTTGGGCCTCCAGGAACGGGCAAAACATTAATAGGCAAATGTATAGCTTCGCAATCGAAATCAACATTTTTTAGCATCAGCTCGGCCTCATTGACATCTAAATGGATGGGCGAGGGTGAGAAAATGGTTCGAACACTTTTCGCTGTTGCTGTCGCTAGACAACCATCGGTAAGTTGTTATGCAAAAATATTGTGCACGCGATAAAATTAAGGCATCACACGTTACAAAAAGAATGAATTGATGAATAGTTACATTTTTTACACCTTTTCGTTATTAAGGAAAATATTTTGATTAATGACTTTTCAAAGAAAAAAAAAATCAATTAGGGAAGGATAAATTTATATTTTTTAATTTTGACGTAACAACTATTAAAGATTTTTAAGGCATATTTGTTATAAGTTCATTTTTTTTAGAACGGAAATTCTCTTCCAACATACCAGAATGGCTTAAGAATAATATTACAATAAGCCTTAAGCTTAAAAAAATCTTGAGTAAACATTGAAAAATTGTTGTGTATCAAATATATAACAATCGAAATTAAAACCTTACAAGCATATACTTGTAATAGTAGAACCAGCTTACGAAAGTAATATTATATTAAGCTGGTTTTTGTAACAGTCTAAAATACTTATTTCTTTCATTTTTTAATCATTTTACACATTTTATTCATTGATTGCCATCCCTGTTGTCACTGCCTCCTGTGGCCTTGAAACCTTGACGCTTTCTTTTCCCTATTTGAGCTTCTGCATATCCTCCACTAATGCTACACTTCCATTAAATTCCGGCAACATTTTTAATGCGATTGAAATATTATACACCACAGTTTCCCAGATTTATTATTCATCATTACCTTAAGAATTCGATCCTAAATTTGCATGATTTTTCTTTTTACCAAATGAAAACAAATTTTAGCTGACAATTTTCACAACAAATCAAAACAAATTTGTCAGCAAAGGACAGATTTGAGAACAGTTTGTGCAAAATAAATGTTTCTCAAGCATTGTTGAAAAAACTAACTACGTTTATAATATTATTCTCAAGCTGTATTGTCGTCTTATATATTTTTGCTATGTCGGGCTACTATTTTTGCTTTGTTTTGGACACACACAGAATAACATCATTGTTGCTTTAGGAAATAAATTGTCAATCTACCTAATTTGCATAGAATACTAATTTAATAATATAATATAAAAAAAATCTACAAAATTAGGATCAAATAAGCTTGATTTGCACTATATTTCTCAAAATTACAAAAGTTTTGAAGGCCCTTATAAATTCTTGTTGTATTATTCTAGTTGTAGCAGTTCAAATCTGTTTATTCATTTTGGCGTGCGGTGTAAATTTATTATTGAGATTAGAAATTCACTTCTATTTTTATTTAATTTTTACATTAGGTTTTAACATGGTACAATGCATGGTACAATGAAGAGAAGGTAGGTCAACTTTGAAAAAATTGCAAGTATAGAGGTCTACCTGTTTGGCTTGTAATGTCAGAATTAGTATCAAAACAATAAAAAAACAAAACAACTTGTTGCATTTATTTTGAATAAATAATTGAAAACCGCGATAACTGAATGAAAGGTCAACACTTCTTTTCAAAATCATGTACTATATATCTCTAAAGGATTATTTCGCTACAAAAACTTTAGATTTTGTCGATGCATACGTTGAAATAAACATTTTGAATACACCCGAATTTGAATATTTTCTGAACAATTTTTTTGTTATTGAAAAGAAAACACATACATAAACAAATAAAGATGACATATTAAGCCAAGAAAATAAAAAAATTGAAATCATATGGTATCATAGCCCTACCTTGAATTCATTGTACCATGGGTTTTAGGTTTAATACTCACACATTTATGAAGTTTACTGGCAACCATGGTACAATGATATCAAGGTAGGGCTATGATACCATATGATTTTAATTTTTTTTATTTTTTTTTGGCTTAATATGTCATCTTTATTTGTTTATGTATGTGTTTTCTTTTCAGTAACAAAATAATTGTTCAGAAAACATTCAAATTCGGGTGTTTTCAAAATGTTTATTTCAACGTATGCATCGACAAAATCTAGAGTTTTTGAAGCGAAATAATCCTTTAGAGATATATAGTACATGATTTTGAAAAGAAGTGTTGACCTTTCATTCAGTTATCGCGTTTTTCAATTATTTATTCAAAATAAATGCAACAAGTTATTTGATTTTTTATTGTTTTGATACTAATTGTGACATTACACGCCAAACAGGTAGACCTCTATACTTGCAATTTTTTCAAAGTTGGCCTACCTTCTCTTTATTGTACCATGCTGGCAACCTACTTTATTGGGCTAATATACCTGGTGTCATATGTTTTCACAAAAAAAAAAAATAATTTCCAAAAAAATAATTAATATATTATGGTAGTAATTGGTCTAGGATCTATTGTTGCCATGGCGAATATTAATAGTATTATTACATAGTACTAGCAAGTGTCCGCCACTGAGCCAGCTAAAAGTCCACCTTAAAATTTTAGATTCGTTCCAATAGTTTGAGTTAGACCTTTTTAGAACTCAAAATGCACAACTTAAAGTTTCTCCCTCAAAATCGCACAATGGAGCCACAATCCAATTTTTCTGCCCAAAACTATTTCAACGTCTCCATATGTAAACCCTAGAAACCAAGAGTGACCTGAAACTCGACAATAGAATCCTTAATAGCATGCTCAACTATCTTCGACATAGTTGGCAGTATGCTTATTGATCAAAGATTTGTCTGATGGTACGACTCCCATTCTTCGGCGCAGGCACTACACGTGTTACCTTCCACGCATACAGAAAGGTTGACGTCATAAAAATACAATTAACAAAATGCTGAAATGCTTTAAATGTAAAGGAATACACATTTAAAGAAAAAATTTTGATTAACAAAGATGAATTACTCCTGTATGGCTAGGTTTTATGTTACATTTTTTCGCTCATATAACAATTTCGTGAAAAGGATTGCATTGATGTTAAAAAACTTCACATGAAACGCGATACTACGCGGAATTTACAAAATAGATTTGTGCTGATTTTGAGATTCCCTATGTCCGACTTTTCAATTAAAATTGGCATTCAAAGGAAATTATACCATGCACGTCAATTTTACCCTCAAAAAATAGATTTTTTAAAAAATGTACCCACCAAATTTTCATTTTGAATTCCTATTACTAGGAAGCTGTTCTGTAAAAGCTATCGATGTAAAATAACGAGTCCTTTGATTCTAAAATAAATTTAGATCATATACTTTTTGTGCGCTCACATTATAAGCACAATTCAGAAAACCACAAAGTTCCGGCTAGAAATGTCAGCTTTATATTATTATTTTTTTTTTTTTGATGGATGCAGAGGATTTATTGAAAAATCATTCTTTAAAAATATGCTAGCTAAAGGTGTACTCCAATATTTCTCTAATAGTAGTGGATTGTAAAGTGTGTGGTTTAGCTAGAAACCCGTAAATAGTATGAAAATAACTTGTTGGGCTCAACTAAATTTTAACTGCTTTTTTACATTAACAACAACACTGCTTCCGAAAAAATATTTTTAATGCCTCATACTATGAAATTTTGATTAAAATACTTCCTTCCAGTTAACTACATTCATATTTACAGCAATATTTTAACAGTCCACCGAATGGGGAAACTCGCTTACAACAAAACATTTTTAAATATTCCCATATCCCTATTGTACATCAAAAAGAAATTTAATTTTCAGTAGAGTTCTACCAATGTAAAAACATGTGATTAAATCAGATTGATCGCAATATAATATATACAATATACCAAATAACAAACATTAATGCCTCCATATAAATACAAATAATTTTCTGGGACTAGGTAGTCGTATATCTTTTTGTAACATATAAGTGTTTCTTTTTTATAACGCAGGTCATTTTTATAGACGAAATCGATTCTTTACTCTCCAAGCGTTCTGACAACGAGAATGAAGGTACCCGGCGTCTCAAGGTATGTCAAAATGCGGTTATGTGTTTAATATATTTTATGCATCCGCTTATTAATACATACACATGTTTCTAGACTGAATTCTTAGTTAGGCTGGATGGAGCAGCAACATCCGACGACGACCGAGTATTAATAGTTGGCGCTACGAACAGGCCTCAGGAATTGGATGAAGCTGTCCGCAGACGTTTTATTAAACGACTTTATGTTCCTCTTCCAGAATTAGACGCACGTATTGATATACTCAAAAACTTGCTTAAAACGGTCGACAACGATCTTACCCCAAAGGAAATCGAAGAAATCGGAAACCTATCAATTGGATATTCTGGCGCCGATATGGAAAGTTTGTGTCGCGAAGCTTCAATGGAGCCTGTTCGTCCAGTGCCCCAGGATTTCATACTTACCTTTGACAAGAGTAATGTAAGTATGATTTTTTTGTTTTCATATTTTAATAACTCAATTTACTACTACTTTTACAGCTACGACCTGTCAATAAAAATGATTTTCTTATAGCACTAAAAAAGATTCGGCCAAGCGTTTCTCAAGACGATCTAGACCAGTACGTGGAATGGAACAAAACGTACGGTTCAAGTTACTAACGTAATTTTATCGGATTGAAATTTGCGAAGATTCATATATTTGAAAAAAAAAAACGATTTCTAAGTTAAGCTATTAAAAATATTGAAACATTCAATGTGTCTTATTTAATAGCAATGCAAGTGTATTATGCGGGGCAACAATGCAACGTAATTGAGCAAAAACTACCCTGATTTGTTCATGAAGACGATATTATTGAGCTCTCTTTATCCGAGCCCCAAGTCCTGCCTTCTAGCGCAGACAACTGTGGCTTGCACAGACGACATGACGGTAGAATGGTAACGACCAGAGGGGTATGACGCTGGCTGAGCAAATTGATAGCTCCACGTTTTGCGCAGTGAATTAGGACGCATCCACCAGAATAAGGGGAGACAGCCACAGCTCACCAGACATATCCATCGTGTTCTTATTTTTTTAGGCTCAGACCACCTCCCCATTATTGTCGCCATCAACAGACCACACGATTTCATAGACTCTGAACCAGCGAACGAAAATAAACTATTGGAAATGTTTGCAATCGTTTCGTTCTGCATTTTCTCGAAGTACGAAACGAAACAAAACCGATATTAAGATAACGGGACTTGTTATTCCCTCCACCTTGGAAAGGAGGGTATATTAACTTGTCATTCCGTTTGTAACATCATTAAATATTCGTCGTAGACCCCATAATGTATATATATTCATAATCAGCATAAGATTCTAAGACGATTTAACGATGTCCGTCTGTCTGTTTGTCTGTTGAAATCACGATACAGCCCACATTATTTGACGTAGAGCGTCAAAATTTAGCAGAATAATATGTATTGTGTCTAGGATGGTTGGTATCGAAAATGAGATATATCGGTCCACGTTTTGGTATAGTCCCCATATAACGGTACATCCCGATATTCGGTATTTTGATGATTTTTGCCACACTTTTTCACGGATTTGTCTGAAAATTGGTATTTGTTGGTCATAATGGGTCCTAGTTCGTGCGGCGAAACATTGTATGTATAGGTCCACGCTTTGGTATAGTCCCCATATAACGGTACCTCCCGATGTTCGGTATTTTGATGATTTTTGTTACATTTTTTCACGGATTTGTTTAAAAATTGCTATTTGTTAGTCATAATGGGTTCTAGCTCCGGTGGCGAAACTTTGCATGTATAGGCCCACGTTTTGGTATAGCCCCCATATAACGGTACCTCCCGATATTCGGTAATTTGATTATTTTTTCCACATTTATTCACGGATTTGTCTGAAAATTGGTATTCGTAGGTCATAATGGGTCCTAGTTCGTGCGCCGAAACTTTGTATGTATAGGTCCACGCTTTGGTATAGCCTCCATATAACGGTATCTTCCGATATTCGGTATTTTGATAGTTTTTATCACACTTTATCACCGATTTGTCTAAAAATTGGAATTTGTTGGTCATAACGAGTTCTAGCTCCGTTGGCGAAATATTGTATGTATAGGTCCAAGCTTTTGTATAGCCCTATATATAGCGGTACCTCCCAATATTCGGTATTTCGATGAATTTGGCAACATTTTTTACGGGTTGTAGCTTCGGTGGAACATTGAAAATTGGTGAAATTGAATATATAGATCCACGTCTTCCTATAATCCACCGATGTTCTATATTTTCATAATTTTCTACGAATATGTCTAAAAATTGGTATTTGTGGGTCATAATTGGTTCTAGTGTTTCCATTGCCCTAAGGTGGAGGGTATTAAAAGTTCGGCCGGCCGAACTTAATGTTTTTTTACCTGTTTTTTGTTTTGTATTGTTTGCGTAGATGAGTGGAAACAAATACAAAACTGAAATGTACCCGGCTGGATGACGCAACATTGGAAACGAAACAGTACAATACTCTTTGCAAACGTTAACTGTATATAAACTCATTACAAATAATTAAAAGTTAAAATTATCCCTTTTTTATTAATTTATTTGACCATCATACAATGTAAAAAAGTACAAAAACAATATTAAGAATAACAACTCATAGTGTACCACTCATCATTTCGCACAGCAAACGTTTGGAAACGTTTCCCAGCGATTTGTTCGCAAACGATACAGTTCGGCAACTTACAGCCAAAGTAAATTAAGACAATCGTATTGTTTGTGTACTTCTGGCATTTCAATGTTTGTGGTTTCGTTTTGTTCGCAGTACAAAACGATTAAAAAATTTTTAAAAGTTTATGTCTTCGTGTGAGCGGTACGTTATTAGTTTCGTTTGTTTTCGTTCGCTGCTCTGAACGCCACACTTTCCTTAACCATGGGAAAGCCAATTTGCAAGAATTCAGAGAATATACTAATCGCCGCTTCAGAGATTTGCCCAACTCATCTGATGTCCAGGTGGCAGATAGGTGTTCCCGGACATCAGCACCTCGTTATATACCTGCTGGTCGAATATCTGAAATAAGACCAACATTTCCAGCAGAGGCAGCGGCATTAGCAAATTAGTCGGTGAGCATAGAATATCTGAAGCATTGTAACATCAGTACCAGATCGAGTAAATTATGGGCAACGGTTAAGACGCTCTCGTACCCAGGAGAAAAGGACGATCGGACATCTGCCTCATTTAATGGAGAGCAGTGACATACCGAAGAGATGCGCGTGAATTCCGAATGCGGCAGAATTTATTATACAATCCTAAGAATTTCTTTAAATTTGTAAACTCCAAAAGGAGAGCTCAGAAATTTCCCTCCAGCATGAAACTTGGTAGTAAAGAGTCTTCAGACAATCTTGAAATTGCAAATTTATTTGCTGACTTTTTTCAGTCTTCCTATACCCAGGGCACATCTAGAGGCCCTTGCGAAATTTATACCACTTCATTGAATCACTTTCCCTGCATTATCTTAACCGAAGACGAAGTCTTAAATGGTTTAAAGACATTACGCTCCTCATTTTCCCCTGGCCCTGACGGTGTTCCAACCTATATTTTAAAATCTTGTGCTAGAGAATTATACTTACCATTGACTAAGATATTTAATTACTCCTTGAAAATAGGTTATTTTCCAAGCTTCTGGAGATCGAGTTTTGTTATTCCACTTCATAAATCAGGCAATAGACGTTTCATAGATAACTATAGATGTATTGCTAAGTTAAGTGCCATTCCTAAACTTTTCGAACTCTTAGTCTCACGTCGGATGTCACATTTTATAAAAAGCATATTATCACCTTTTCAGCATGGTTTTATGAAAGGCAGATCTACTACTTCTAATCTTTTAGAATTTGTGTGCCATGTTCACGACGGATTTATAAATAAACAACAAACTGACGCTATTTATACAGACTTCAGTAAAGCCTTTGATACCGTAGTGAATAAGCTTTTGCTATATGAACTCGATACTATGGGTTTTCCGACAGCTCTGTTAGGCTGGATTTCATCATACTTGGAGGCTCGTACCCAAAAAGTCATTTTCAATGATTCATTTTCAAAAAATATTGTTGTTTCTTCTGGCGTACCTCAGGGTAGTCATTTGGGCCCTTTACTTTTTGTTTTGTATCATAATGATCTCCCGGATCACATTCGATTCTCTAAAATACTAATGTATACTGATGATGTTAAGCTTTGCATGCATATAAATTCCCTTGACGATTCGACTTTCTTACAGTACGATTTACATTCCCTTGTGAACTGGTGCAGTGCCAACGGTATGTCCCTTAATCTTAAGAAATGCAAAAAATTTTCCTTGTCACGATCTCAGCCAATACATTCTAACTACTTTATTGGTTCATACAAATTAGAAAATGTTGATTCCTTTACTGACCTCGGTGTTATTCTAGATCCTAAACTACGTTTTCATTTACATATTGACTCATGTGTTAATAAAGCCAAGTCTTTACTAGGTTTCATAAAACGCTGATCTAAAGAGTTCGATGATCCATATGTCACCAAAAGATTATTTGTTAGTTTAGTTCGCCCAATATTAGAGTACGGATGTATTCTGTGGAGTCCTTTTTATAAATGCTACTCAGATAAAATCGAATCAGTTCAAGTTCAATTCCTGATTTTTGCTCTGCGGGGCCTTAACTGGAACCCGACAGAATTACTTCCACCTTATGAAAATCGTTTACTGTTAATTGATCTCCCAACACTTGAAAGGAGGCGGTTTATGCTAAGAGCGTTATTTATTATCAAATTAACACGCGGTTTGATTGATTCTCATTTTTAAACTGGGGAAGTTACTTATAATATTCCTTCCCGTAGAACTCGTCATTTCGAACCTTTAAAGCTATCTCTCGCAAGAACTAATTTCGCAATCAGTAACCCATTAAGATCCTTATGTGTAATTTACAATAGTCTATGTAATATTATTTGTTTAAGTAATTCGTTGAACTCTATTAAAAGATCTATTCTCCACATTAGATTGTATATGTTCACTTACCTATTTTTTTTATTTTAAAAAGCTCATTTTTGCGGCACCTGATCTACATCTCCCTTTGCGGAACCGGTAGACCCAGAAATTGAGCACTAGTTGTCAGAATCTTTAAGTTCATTTTAACGGCACCTAGTCTACAATTCCCTCTGCGGAAACAATAGACACCAGCCTTTGAACAGTAGTCTTTGTTTAACACATTATTTTCACTGTTATTTGTGTATATTTGTTATAAATGTTATATGTTTTGCTCTAATTCCTTTCTCTATAGTGTATTTTTACCTATTACTTTGCCGGCTGATGTACTAGACTGTAGCTGGCACCACTAACTCACAACTAACCCACCATTTCCGGTCTTTGGTGTGTACGCGCTCCCTACGTATGGGGAGGTCGCCCCCTCGGTCGGCAGGGGTGGGAGTGAGAGGCGTGGGAACGAACGAAAAGAAAAGAATATTTCAACCCGGAATTTATAGAGCACCCCGAGAATGGCAGGGCTAAGAGAAGGATTCTACGCCCTGTATATCTCCCAGCCGAGGAGGCTCCCCCACAATTTACGTTGAAAGATGTTGCACAAGTCATTGGTCTAACATAATCTCTATGGTGATGTTGAACCAGCTGAATGCAGCACAAGTAGAGTATCTCACAAAACTCCTCAACCTGCCGTTAGCCACCCTGATAGTTCCTGATGCTTGGAAAATGGGAAGGGTGGTCTCGCTACCGAAGCCAGACAAGGA